CTTACCTGAGTAAACTACTCGTTAAGCCATAGCTAACGCCCAGGTAGTCCAGTCTCCCTCTCCCCTCTTACCTGAGTAAACTACTCGTTAAGCCATAGCTAACGCCCAGGTAGTCCAGTCTCCCTCTCCCCTCTTACCTGAGTAAACTACTCGTTAAGCCATAGCTAACGCCCAGGTAGTCCAGTCTCCCTCTCCCCTCTTACCTGAGTAAACTACTCGTTAAGCCATAGCTAACGCCCAGGTAGTCCAATCTCCCTCTCCCCTCTTACCTGAGTAAACTACTCGTTAAGCCGTAGCTAACGCCCAGGTAGTCCAATCTCCCTGCTCCCCTCTTACCTGAGTAAACTACTCGTTAAGCCGTAGCTAACGCCCAGGTAGTCCAGTCTCTCGGCCGGACGCTCGCTCAGTTTCAGCAGCAGTGGAGGAAGGTTCTTGCGCGGTCCCAGCTTCTCTTCCAGCAGGTTGGAAACCTACGGTTAAAGTGATCGAGGCGAGTCAGTCATGGAGTCTTATAGTTATCATCTCCGCACACACACGCACACACACACATACACACACACACACACACACACACACACACACACACACACACACACACACACACACATACACACACATACCGTACCTTCTGCCGGGTAGCAAGTAGACTTTGATGTAGGGGTTAACAGTGCAGTACGGGTCACTCTCCTTCAGATTGCTAGCGTGGATAATGGTAGCAAACAAACGCTGCTTCGAGTCCTCATAGCTCAGTTGGATCTGCACTCGCAAGCAAACAGCATCATCAGATATAGTAAGAGTATGAGTGAGAGCAAAAAACATAATATGCAAGGTCTCCATGAGTATAGATAGAGTCAAGTACATGTGTAGATACATATATTCAGGTACATTCCAGTATATATGTTCAGATACATTCAGGTATACATATTCATGTACATTCATGTTCATATGTGCAGGTATACATATTTTCAGGTACGTTCAGGTACAAATATTCAGGTACATAATATGTTTAGGTGCATTCAGGTATACATATATGTTAAGATATATATGTTCAAGTATATTCAGGTACATTTGTTATTATTCGCCCTGATTTTCGTAGTAAGCGCAGGGACGGTAAAATGTGCGCAGAAGAACAGAGTTAATGGCGGATTTTTCAATCATTTTACGCTCAGCGAACTCTGATATCTACGACCCGAATTCTCGCCGCTTGAATTCCTTCGAACACAATGAAAATTGCGTCGATTTTCCTTCGACTTTAAATTTGTTATCGAACGAACGGAATACGTTACGCGAAAAAGCGTTCCTTTGTTCACCGATTAGCTCATAAAATGCGACTGCGTTTGTCGCTAATAACCCATCATCTGAGATGTATCTTCAGATAACTGCATCGAAAGAAGTCACGTATCGACAAAGGAGCGGCGTAATTTTTTCGAATCGCATCCATCATGCGATGCCCCCTCACTAACCTGAGTCGTCGGCTTGCTATTCCGCGGACCTAGAGGGCGCGCGCGACCGGGTGCGTCGTCGCGCGACTTCGCGGCGTCGGCGTTACGTGGGAGCGTCGACGATCTGTAGTTGTCCGTCGGCATGTTGACGGCAGAGCTCTCTGGCGGCGGGCGGATGCCCTGAGGGGGTAGCGTGCCGTACTGCTGCGGCTGTCGCTGTTGTTGCTGCTGCTGCTGCTGCTGCTGTTGCTGCTGCTGCTGTTGTTGTTGCTGTTGTTGTTGCTGTTGTTGTTGCTGTTGTTGTTGCTGCTGTTGCTGCTGCTGCTGTTGTTGCTGTCTGCGGCGGTGGCGAGAGCGGGAGGGTGATGACGTCGCCGTCGTCTCCTGGGAGCTCGCCCCCGGCTGTGTCGTCACCGCCTGCTGCTGCTGGGCTGCCGACGTCGCCGCCGACGCTGACGACGACGCGGGCTCCCTGTGCTTCGGACTAGCCGACGGCTGTCGCGAGTGACGGCGCACCTCGCCGACGGTCGGAAACAGCGACGTCGACGACGACGCGTCGGCCGTCGCCTGCGACGTGACGACGCGCGACGTCACGCCAGATGGCGCTGCGACGGCGGCCGTCACCGTCGCCGAGCCCCCGCCGCTGCTGCTGCTGGGAAGGTAGTCGGCGATCGTGGCGCCACCGAACGACAGCGTCGGGCAGTGACCGCTGCCAGGCACGCAGAACGGCGCCGACGACGGGAAGGCACTTTGTCCGAGCACCGCGTACAGGTCCTGTGACGGCGGCTGCTGCGGCTGCTGGTTGCCGACCGACGGAGCGACGACGACGTCGGCAGCATCGTACGGAGCCGCGCTGTAGGCCGTAGCCGACGACGGAGGGTAGGCGCTGGGGTATGTCGTCTGCGCGTAGGGAGGCGGCGGCGGCGGCGCCCTCTGGGGGTCTGCGACGCCGGGAGGTGGCGCTGCGGCGGCGTATCCCTGGTTCGTAGGCACTGTGTATGGCGGTCCGGTGCGCGTGCTCTGAGGTAGGGGCTGCTGCTGCTGCTGCTGCTGCTGCTGCTGTTGCTGCTGCTGCTGTTGCTGCTGCTGCTGTTGCTGCTGCTGTTGTTGCTGCTGCTGCTGCTGCTGCTGCTGGTGGTAGTGGTGGTGGTGGTGGCGCTGCGGGCCGATCTGCCAGCTGCTCTGCTGTTGCATCAGCTGCTGACTGCTCGGATATCCGCTCAGCTGCGGCGGCGGCAGCGCCACCTGGCTGGGACCGGGGAAACCGCTGTGGTGACTCATCACCGGAGCGTACCCGTAGTTCGGCTGCGATCCGCCGCCGTTGCCCTGGTAACCAAACTGCTGCTGCTGCGGCTGCATCTGTCCCGGAGCGCATCCCTGTTGATGATATGTGCTGCCGCCGCTCGTCGTGGTTGTTGTTGCGATGTTGTTGTTGATGTTGTTGTTGTTGTTGATGTTGTTGTTGTTGTTGTTGTTGTTGTTGTTGTTGTGTTGGTGTGCTGCGTGTCGCTGCTGTGTGGAGAAGGGAGAGCGAGAGCGCATCGCTCGCACGGGTTCGCTGCTTCTGTCCTCGCGATGTGCCTTCAGCTGATACCAGTACGCCTCGTTGTCCAGGTAGGAATTATCTGCAGGTATAGAGAGAGAGAGAGAATGAGAGATAGATAGATAGAGAGAGAGAGAGAGAGAGAGAGAGAGAGAAAGAGGAAGAGAGAGAGAGGAAGAGAGAGAACGATAGAGAGGGGAAGAGAGAGAGAGAAGAGATATTCCCTTCCGCGCATTATTTTACCTATATTTATTATTCGTGGATCTGAATATTTCATCCTCGTTAGTTTCGCCCGCTCCTTCGCAAGCGGTTGCGTTAGCATTTTTCCTCTCCCCACTTGCGCTGGAATTTTTTTCTCTCCCCCACTTCCGTTGGAATTTTTCCCGCTCCCGCGCGTTCGTTAGAATTTTCCCCTCCCCGCGTTCGTTAGAATTTTTCCCTCTCCCGCTTTACCCCCCCTCTTCCGCGCATAATTTTTTCTCCGTGTCAGTTCTACCCGATATTGTGGTTTGATCGAATATGCAATCAATCACTCGGACGTGCACCACGCGAGCGCACGCGCGCTTGACTCCGCTATCTCCCTGAGTAATCAGTCAGCGTACGTATATATTTATATTTACTCGCCGCCATTGATCGATGCGCATCTGCTGCGAATGCCGGCAAGCGAGATGGCAATTGTCCGCCTGTTATGATGATTTGTTAAGGATGGAGTTGTAAAGTATATAGTTAGGGTTAGAATTATTCGGGGCGATTTATTTGAGATAGATTCGTCTGCTATTGTGGTTAGGGTTAGGGTCGGTATTATAATCAGTGTTGAGTGTGGAGTTAGGGAACGGTTATGGGGTTACGTCTAGTGATTGGCTTGCAGTTTTGTGATTAGGAGTGGAATCATGGTTAGGGTTAGGGTTATCCTATATTGTTAGAGCTAAGATTAGCGTTGTTTTTAGTGTTAGTCCTATCTCAGGGATAGACATAGCGTTAGGGTTTGGGTTATGGTTAATTATTTTGGAATTGGTTGCGGTATGGAATACCCTTGCATTTTGAGGTTTTCTAGCCAGGTATTAAACACTTCTATAGACTAGAATCCCTTCAGTGGGTAGGGGGAAGTGTAAAAACCTTTCACGGGTCAGAGGAAAACTGAAAACTCGTCTTCAAGGATCAAAGGTAGGAGTAAATAGACGACTTACCTGACAAGTCGATAAGCACATCTCCTAGGAACTGGATGTCCCTGGAGGTGGACCACGGAACAAACCAGAGCTAAACTAGAAGCTTTATGGAGCTTCACTAGGCTACACCAGGGCGTACTAAGACAGACAGGGGAGTTCCGACATTTGAGCACCTCCCCAGGAACTCGCTTTGTCCGCTCTTCATGCGATTCCTTATGAATGTCCTTGGAGGGCGGACCTCGGAGCCACACCGCAGTATGCCACAACAAGGTCTGACTAGGACCTGACTAGGAGGCATCACTGGGGAGGGGAGGAGGGGAGACGGCTTACCGGACAACTCGATGACACCTCACCCAGAGAACTCGCGTCTGTCCGCTCTTCACTGCGGTTCCAGACGCTGAATTCGCGCGGCGGCGATGCAGCTCGGAGCGCGGCAGGTTCTCGTCCATGATCGTCTCGTTCCACACGGGTTGCGCGAGTTGAGGATGTGCTTAGTACGCCACTTGTTCTCGACACTGCAAGTAGGGAGTAGAGACGCGGTGAGGGTCACGACGGTAGGAGGGGAAGTAGT